AAGTCTGATACTTCAGATTAAATATGTCAGCACTGCCCTGTCAGATTCCAGAATAGATTCCTGATGTATTGGAGGGCCGTTTTTGCTCTCAGAAAACTCTAGGGACTACATAATTATTTGGGTTTGTTTTTTAAACAGTAGTAGAATGCCATAGGATCAGCATTCCTCACTGCTGGTTTGGGGCCTGGGGAGAAATTAGGTTTAGTGATGATCAGAGTGGGCCAAGAAATTAAAACAAAATGCACATAACGAAAATATTTACTTTAGAAGCAGGATTGTGTGTGAATTAATATCTGCATTTGTCACAGGGAACTGAGCTCTATTCCATGGAAAAAAAAAATGTGTATGACCAGATTCCTTATTTAACTTGTGAAGCCCGGGATGAGGGGCAAGCTTAGGGGAGTGATAGAGCAGCTCGGTGGGCACTTGATTATTAATGGAGGAGGAAAAGGAGGAAAGCTTTGAACAAGATGCTGATGGAGGGAGAGGGTGTTCTTTATTAGTGCTCGTTCTCTGCAGCAATTGTACTCAAGCCCTACTGGCCAGGAAGTGCCTGGGTATGGGCTGCTCATGGGACATGGAGAGTGAATCTTGTTTTCCTTTGCTTCTGTGCATGGCCTTTGCTTTTGTTTTATTAAACTGCCTTTACCTTGACCCACGAGGTTTATTTCATCTTCTTCCCCTCCTGCCCCCAGTCCTGCTGAGGAGGGGAGTGATAGGGTGGCTTGGTGGAGTCCTGGCCTCCAGCCAAGCTCAGCCCACCACATCTGTGTCAAGAAATGCAGATTTAAGTGTACGTGACAAGATTCCTTAGCAAACTTGCAAAGCACGCTTGTAAGGGCAAGCTTTATAGAATTTGACAAGACACTAAATTTAAAGGCATAAAGAAAGAAAAAGTAAAGAAAGTCAGACAAGAATTCTCTCTTTTCAAATGTGTGGTTATATCAGCAAATAGTGTTATGCAAAAGCGCTCTCACATCTCATGCTCAGAATTTTTAATGCTGAAGATTCATCGTGTGTGGTCAGAATCTCTTGCTGTTCCTCCCAAATTAGATCTGTCTTCTTCCAACTCTTTCTGTCAGTCCTGTCTTATTCAGGCAAAATTCTAGTCAATGGATTTTCAGTGGGGTTTTTTTGGATACCAGATTTATGAATTGTAATAGGTAGATCAGGAAATGCATGAGAGAATTAATTTCTTAATTTGTGATAATGAAGAAAATGTCTCCAATTCCTTTTCTTTTTTCTTTAAAGAAGAAAATTAGGATTTGCATATTTTTCTTTCACAATACGTAGTTACAAATATTTGCAAGTGTAGTGCTGGTACTTATTTCAGTAGCACAACTAAATTTAACATACAAATTGATTTAGATGCAGTTCATAAGAAAGCTTTCAGTAGTCTGTTTCCTCTCGATGATATAACCTCATACTGTGGAGAATTAAAATAGAACAGTAATAGATTATGGAATAAATAAGGAAGCTTGATTTTAGAGAATGAGGGTATGGTTGACAGGATAATTTACTGTTGTATTTGTTGAGGTGTATTCTTCAGGTATAGCTGTAGCTTTCTATAGCATACAATTACACAGGATGATTTTTTTTGCAAAGTCTTCGGTATAATTTTATATTTGCCACTGCCAAGAGACTAGACTGTCAGCTGATTCAGCCCTGCCAATTCTCTCCTAACTGGGGTGGGAAAGAAACAGGAGAGTCAGGAGCTAAAATCCTGTGGACTGGGTTCTTGAACGTGTTGTTTGCTTTTAGTGGCCCTATGATGGTGCAAAGCACGAGAAGCTGTGTGCTTCTGTAGGTGGACCAGCAATTTAAAATCAGCAATTTTCCTTGTAAATTCATTCTCCTCTGCTGTTCACCACATCTGTGGCTTTAGGATGCTCTGGAGGTGTTTATATGGCCCAAGGCACACTGAGGCAGCAGAGTTCTCAGCAGGCGATTCTTTTGGGTGTAGTTAGTTGGCATAGACTAGAGGAACTTCCTTGTGTAAGAACATGAATTGAAGTCTGGGAAGAGCCATTAGTTAATGTTCCTTTTATAGTTTTGTTTCAGTTTATGGGGCAATTCACAGTTCCATGGATTGCTTCTTGGAGATGGGCGGTAAAGAAGGATTGAAAAAGTTCTGAGAGAACTATTTATATGTTGTCAAGAAATGGGCATGGAAATATTTCGGGTCAACTGGTCCATTTTTAATAGAAATTTTAAAAATGTGATAGATCTTACATGTTTTTTTTTTTTAAATCCTGTAAAGTTCTGTGTCTGTAATGACAACCATGTGACAGATATTCACAGCACTCCTACATTCCTTCCCCTGCAGTTAATTATACAATTTCTTTCCACCCTCACACCATTTGTTCTTTCCTTTCCTTAGCAAGCTGCAGATAGAAAAATCTGTGCCAGCAGAAGTCTAAATCTGGTCCACCATGTTCTAAGTCTTGAAGGTGTACAAAAATGGGATTCTTTTATGTCAAAGTAGCAGTAGTCTGCCACAGTTGAGGCTGTTAGGTTTAAGATAATTACAGAGAAGCAGCCAGAATTGCTGTCATGCTTAGTGACAAATGTGGGGTTGGGTGGAGCCTAAGGAGAGCATGCACAGGCTGCTGGGGGCAGAAAAGGAACTTGTCTCATTTATTTTAACCAGAATTGTTGTTTGAATTCTGATTTCTAATTATTTTTGTGTTGATCCAACAATTGTTGGTTTTTAGAGCTTACGTTCAGAAGGTTTGTGTGTTAGGAATGTGTATGTCAGGTTTACTTTCATTTGTGGGTTAGAACATGGTATTTTAGAATTCGTTTTCTTTTGCTCAGCTAGATTTCTATAGACATACTGACATTTGATATATAGGAACTACCTGACTTTGGAAAAACATTCATTTGTAAATAGAATGTAGCATGATGTAGTAACTATAGTCTCATTTAACATTAGAGGATGTATCTTAAATCATTATTCAGATCAGGGAAATAATTTTGACTATTTCTGGGGTGCTGGTAGTTACTGAATATTGCTGTTGCTTAATTGTATCATGGTAGTACAAAAAAGGTTCTTGGTCAGGTGTGAGAAGTAGGACAGTGAAATAATTTTGGAAGCAGAAGGTGTAGTCAGTCTCAGGGTCCCAAACAGTGGGCACATTAGTAGATTCAAAGTGAGGAAGTTTCTACATCTAAAGGATTTTAAAGTTTACTGGAGTTTTTAAGCTTATTATATCTAATTAAAAAGATGGTACGATTAAGAAAAGAGTTGCTGTTAAATAAAAGCAGGACTGTAAATGAGTGGCTTACATGTGTGTGCTCTCAACTGAGGGTGTGCCTAGTAAGATGCAGATACTAAGAGAATTAAGATCTGGACATACATTAAAGTAGTGCTTATTTAATGATAGAAGAGATTCAAAGTGTCTTACTGAATTCTACCACTGTCAATGCTACTTTTCCATTTGAAATGACTGATAAAAGACATTATTTCAAAAGGTTGATTTCTTAAGGTGATTTCAAAAGGTTGGTTTCTCAAGGTTTAGAGTTTTTCAGTTGTTTAAATCATTGCTAAAACACGACAGATTTACGTGTGTACGTGTACTTGTGTAAAACATGAAGGTAGTATCAAATGTTTTTTTGTTAGTTTGGTGTCTGTGTTGTTGCTGTTTTGGGTTTTATTTGGTGTGGTTTCTGTTTTGTTTTTTAGAATGTGGAGTTGCAGAACATCAATTCAACCTAAAAGTCTGATGACATGCATTTAAGTCCCCTAATTCCTTCTAATAAAGCACAGACTGTGAGCCTGTTCAGGAATTCATATTTCCAAAAGCTCAGCATGTTGTATAGGCAATGAATAGAGGGAAAAAATAAGAAGAAAAACAAATTCAGATGAGGATGTTATCTGAAATGAACATCATAAGCCATAGCAATTTAGGCTAATTATCTGTACTCCAACCCTAACATGGGAAAAATCCATTTTGAGTTTGATCTGCGTTGAGGAAGGGAGTGCAAGACACACCTCTGGAACAGAGACAGATCCCTGTACTCAGATGTAGTATAAATATTTTAGGACAAGTCAGTGTTCTGAAAAACCTAAAAGTGTAAAAGAACAGCAATGTCCAATAGGAATGTTGTAATTTATCATAGGATTGATTATTTCAAATATGCTTTTCTTTGTCACCTCTATTGAGTGAAGTCTGTCTATAAGTTTATATGTTTGAGTACTGTGAATTTGTTGTTGCCTTTCTGTATAACTCAATAAAATTATTTTTTTCTGTTGAAGATACTTTTTGTTGAATTCAGTTCTTTCTGTTGAATCTCCTTTGCTTGCATCTGACCTTTATTTATGTTGATTTTGCTTCATTTTTTCGTTTACCATGCTGTTCAGTTTTTGGATGCCAGAAGAACAAAGGTTTGTCTGCTACTTGCAGTAAATTTATTTTTCAAAATCCAGTATCACTTTTTGTGTTTTTTTTGTTTGCTTTTTAGAGATGCAGTAATCCTGTTTACTAAACTTTTCATAGCTTTAGCTTCCAAAATGAAAAATAAAACCAACCAGCCCCAACTCAGTCCTTCCCCAAAGTCCCGTTTAATTGTAGTGAGGGCTTTGATTGGCTTGATGAACAGCAGTACTGTTGAGCACCATGAAGAGCAGATTTATCATTAGTCTATGAGGTAATTTAGAAAACATGGACTACTGAGTCTTTGAGCTTTGTAGGTACACATTGATTGTTCTTATGGATGTGTCCCTGCCTAGTGTTTGCATTTGTTGCTATTAATTTTATCTGTAGCTGACATTATTTTGTGTCTGTATATGTTGTCTTCTTTTTTCTTTCTAGAAGCACTTGAAAGATATCATTACAAATATTGTCACGTGCATTTGATATTTTATTAGATCATTTGGTATACTTCCATTACTAATTCTAATGACTTTTTGTAACAGCATACAACATAACTTGAATCAAATACCAATTCTACAATCAGATCCTAAGCTAATTTTTTCTCTTTTGTCGTCTTTATTGCAGCATCTGCAAATGACAATCCAGGCACTTCAAGATGAGCTTAGAACCCAGAGAGACCTTAACCATCTTCTCCAGCAAGAAAGTGGGAACCGAGGGGCTGAGCATTTTACCATTGAGCTCACGGAGGAGAATTTTCGAAGACTTCAGGCAGAGCATGATAGACAAGCTAAAGAGCTCTTCCTGTTGAGAAAAACTCTAGAAGAAATGGAGCTTAGGATTGAAACACAAAAGCAAACACTAAATGCCAGAGATGAATCAATAAAAAAGCTTCTAGAGATGTTGCAAAGTAAAGGTTTGCCTTCTAAAGGAATGGAAGATGACAATGAAAGAACTCGAAGGATGGCAGAGGCTGAATCTCAGGTTAATCACTTAGAAGTGATTTTAGATCAGAAGGAGAAGGAAAACATGCATCTTAGAGAGGTAATTAAAAACTCATTTATTTGTTTAAAGTACATATTTTTGTTAAAAATAGTCATGGAACTTGTTGCAGTTTTAGAAATATAATTAGAATATTTAAGTGTTTTCTTTGTGTGCTCTGATTTTTGGATGAAAAGGATAGCATGCATTTGTACTGTATGATATTTGAAAGCAAGAATAAGAAAGTATGGAAGAGAAGTAGATATATTTGGGCTTATTGTTTCTGAAATGTTGCTTTGCCAAGTTTCTTTATCCTTTCATTTTGATGAAGTGATATCTGGCAAGTGAAGACTAGACCTACTGAAGAGGGAAGTGACACCTGCTTCTGCTCTAAGGAGTCATGAGTGCATGCTACCTTTGTGTTGGATATTTATGCCTCTAGTGTTTGAAAAGAGTGTTTAAAAATAATTTTCCTTGCATATAAACAAAGACTTCTGCCTATGCGTATTTCTAATGTATTTTCATGTGGGGATACTCCAACTTTTTATGTAAATATATGTTATGTCACATAAAAACACTGTGCTGCTGGCTGTGCTCTGCTTTGAGAAAACCTAAATTTGATCCCAAGCCCACCTGCACCAGCTGCCTACATCACTTGTAAATGCATTTTTGGGACTGGATTTGGCATGATTGGATTAGTACAATTGAAAGAAAATCTAGCCTGGTGTCAAGCCCATCTGCCCCTTTAGATGCCAGCAGTGTTCTCATGTGACTGTCAGGCAAACAAGGCAGGCCAGTCTTCCCCACAAAGACCTTGCTAAGGAGGGTGAAAATTTGCAGGGAGGTTGTGGATAACGATACACAGCAAGGGAAGTCAGGAGACAAACGTCTGTTCACTGAGAAACTCAGCAGCAGTGTGGTCACTGCAAACACCAGTTTGCCTGATGGCTCAAAGCACAAATGAAATTAGTGCAAGAGCTTAAGAATTAAGCTTGAGATTAAGAACAGCTATTTACATCTAGAGATGGTAGGCAAAATATTTTCTTTGCTATGGATAAATTATTTTATATTTAGCTTATGTTCCTCTCTAACCTAGAATATACATTGAGGACTCAGTAGTTCCTGCTGCCAATTTGAAGCTTAGAAAGTGGAAAATGTCATGGTAGGCTTCAGTAAAGCTTTCTTGTGAAGATTGGATCCTGAATCTTTTCACAGGCAGAATTTTAATTAAAACTGGTGTAATGCAATAATAGATCCTGAAAGGAATTGCATAAGGAGTTAATGCTTCTGAATATGTGATGAGGAAGGGTTGTGGAATAAGTTCTATAAACTAGCAGACAAGTTTCTGGATTTAGGTCTGCATACACTCTGTTTTCAAAGATGGGTAATTGTGTGATTTTCTTTCATCTGTTGTATCAGTGTCAATTAAGTTTGTGAGCCCTAATTTGGCTATTTATGGGACATGAGGAAATTTGAAGAAAGTTTCTAATGAGAACGATTATCAAGGGCAGTGAGAAGTAGAACTAAATTGAGCACGAAAACTAGATGAAATGTAAGCTTCCAAGTAAAGCCAATTGGCATCCAGTGTACTGATTAGTCCAGGACATGCTGAGAGGAGATATTAGGGCTACCTACAGACTGTGCATGTTTCTCCTGTATTTATACTGAATTAATTTGATGTTCCTCCCAGTTGTTCTCAGTGGCAGGGAAGTGTGTTGTTTCTCCCTCAGTAAACTGAGGGAACGTATGTGAATATAAAGGCTGTCTTTTGTCTGGAGTTCTGCAAGTGTAGAATGGGATTTACTACTAATGACATGCTGATATACCTTGGTAAGTGATCAAGGTTTAAAATTTTACTGCATCTGTTGCTTGGAATCTGTCCCAGCCAGATTGGCAGGAACTGTCTAATGTTTTGGACATTTTGACTCACTATTTCATTGTTTTTATAAGAATTCAAGGCTTTGGGTGCAGTCTCTCTTTCCACCTCTCTTTCTGTTGCACGTACTATTTATAGGTTTTACTTTTATTTATTTTTAAGTTTCTGCATATTTGAAGTTGCAGGGAGCTTGGAAGTATGATGTGTAGGCTGTAGGAACTCTTTAGAAACAAAGTGTTTTAGTAGGTGCCTGTTTGTTTATCCAGTACTCCGGATTTTATTGTTCTGGTTCTTGGAAAATGTACTGAGGTTCAAATTTTTTCTTTTGCTTTCTTGTTATGGAAAGTTGTCTGCATGCTTTGAAGTAACATCAGACATTATGTATAGTTTAAAAGTATTACATATTTGTTAAAATTCCAAGTAGATCAACCTTTGATCTTTATGTGTAACTTGGTAAATCCTTTTTCTGCAGTGCTCATTTGAATTTCTGTCTCTGCTTTTAGTCTTCATCCTGCACAATACAGGTTCTCAGTATGATAAAACAGAGGTTACTAGGTTGAGTCTTCTGCAGCAGCCTCCCCAGTGGATTAATATTTTTTTTCCGTAACTGGTGTTTGTAGTTTTTCATCCTAACTGTGTAAATCACCTGGCAGAGTTACTGAACATTTGTTTTTCGTCCTGAGAATGCTTTAAAAGTAAGCTAGAACTTGGATACATTCTTAATGACTTTGGTTCATGAATTATTTAGAATTCACTCAAATTGTGTTAATCTTTCTATACCCTTAACAAAATATGTGTCATTTTAGAACATAATCTAAAATATTCTGCTTTCTTTATTTTTACAGGTTGGAGTATAGCTCAAGTGTTGAGTGTATTTCTGAGAAAGTAGTATGGGGTCATGTCTACTGTTCTGTTTGAAATCCTGGATGGCTGTTTCTTGTCTTTAATTAGTTTTGCTGTTTTATTTCTGCTGCTGCACTTGAAATTGTCTGTACCAGGGGAGATTTAGGGAGATTCAGGGATGCCTTCATGGAAAGGGTTGTTAAATGCTGGAATGGACAACTTGAGGAAGTGATGGGGTCCCCATCCCTGAAGGTGTTCAAGAAATGACTGGGTTTGACACTCAGTGCCCTGGTCTGATTGACAAGGTGGAGCTTTCCAAAGACTTTAGACTTGATGGTCTTGGATGCCTTTTCCAACCTTAATGACTTGGTGATTCTGTGAAACAAGGATGATAAAATTCTGTGTAGCATCACATGAAGTTATTCAACAAATAGGGTTTGTTTGTGTCAGTTTACCTTTACAATGATTCTGCTGTAGTTTCCAGCAGAAAGAGTGCTGTCTGTGGAAAAAAGTTAACATGGTGCAGTTTAAGTTGAATATGGAAAAAATTAACTGAAGACAGCTGATTTTCTACAGCCTCAACATTACATTAAAATGTAAATGTAGAGATGGACTTCTCAGAAGCCCTTTGCTGTTGGTGTTTAATTAAAAATTACTTTTGATCTGAATTTTTCAGTTCATGAAATTTAATTGTGTATCAACCTAGCTAAAAGAAGGTAGTCTTACATGTTTTCCCCTAATGCAACCATAATTTTCTCTCTTATTCGGTTTATTTCTTAGTGCTTTAAAACTGTGCAAAGCTGGAATTTCTTCTTTTCATTAATTTTGTTCATCTTTTAGATAATTCAACATGCTGGTGTAGAAAGCTATTAATAATCCCTGGTGGATGATGTTTTGATTAAACCAGAGAATTAAACTACCATGTTGTGAGAGAAACTGAAGCAAGTGGTCCTGAAACATTGGGAATTAAGGACAGCCTCTTGAACACACCTGTATCTGAAATGAATGTCAGTTCTCTCTCCTTGACCTGCACCACCTGAGCACTGATCTACAAGGAATTGAATTGTAAAGGAGATGTTCTTTGTTACTCCACAGCTGATTTTGTCTAGCTGGTAACTTTTTCACTTAACTAGGTAGAGAGAAATAACTTCTTGTTATCTGTCGGACTCTACCACCTTGTCAATTATTAATTTTCTGGCAATTTCACACAAGAATGCACATTATCAGAAATAAATATCCTACTGTTCTGATTGGCTGGTTATCCAAGAATCATGCAGAAATTTCTTGATTTTAAGCCATTGATTGCTTCTTGCCCTTCCCCCACCCACCCTCCCGAGTAGGCTCAGCAGAATTTGATAATTATAGCTGCCTTCAAAGATCTGGAAGTTCTCCAGGCTTTAGATGGTATTTCTTACAGAAAGTACAGGTGAGAGTAATGGAATTGGCTGGTGTACTAGAGGCAGAGAAATAACTCCAGAAAATAAAACTTTTTTCCCCCCTTCATTTGCTTTCATATTCTTTTGGGAGATAAAGGCTAACTGTGAGGTGCTGACTTGGTGGCCCTCAAAGATTGTACCTTTCTGAGTGTGCAATCCATGCATTTTTAAACTTTGTTTCACAAAAGCAAACTTGTGATGACAGTTTTACTCAAGCTTTGTATTTGAGGGCCTTAGCAGTGGCAAATGTGAGATGCATTATCGAGCAGGAGAAGGAGAACAAAGCTCAAGTTGGAATCCTGCTCTTTTACAGGAATAGCAAAGAATGCCAATGTCAGCAAGGTTCACTAAAATTTTGGGAAATAAACTGTGTAAAAAATGGGGTTAAAATGGGGTTATAGATTTCTTTCCTCTATCAAAGAATTTAAAATCTAGGCCAGAAGCTTCACAGGGATAGCAGGATTCCCAGCTTGGAGAGAGTTATAGCCAAGGTTTCCTGAGGTCCTGATTCACAAAGCAAGAAAGAACAAATCTAGCTCTGAGAAACAGTGTGAGCATGGGTTGCTGCTGCAGTTTTGGGAGATGGAGCCTCTTAAGAGTGTTGAGCTCTGTTTCATGCTTTCTGAGGATTTCTGCCCAGATTGCACTTGGTTTTCCATCACTGTTAGACTGAGTCCTATGCCTTTAACCAACTAAATTCACTCAAGTATTTTTGTTAGTGTTTTTCAAAGGCAGATGGACTTCATTCTTGTTTTCTGAAAAAAAAAAAAAAGTTTTTGCTTTGATAAGAAACTTAATGTGTCCTGTGGGGAACACAGTGGTCTTTGCAAGTAGATTTAAGGAAAAGGATGTTCTTGGTTTGTTAGTGATTGAAAATCTGTCTTGAAGCCATAATAATGTCATACTAC